AAACAACGCTGCCTTTACAGGTTTTCCGAGAGTCGATGACATACCATTTATGGCAGTGACACTCAGAACCGATCCTTGAGGGATACCATTTTCTAGAGGGTGACTAGAAGACTGTCACCGACGCGAATGTTCGAACGGAATGTTCGAAGGGTGCAGGGTTCGCAGAATGCCGTACCCCCAAGTGGGGTCGTAGGCCTTTTCTATGCCACATGTTGCCTAAAGACGGTGTCGAGATTGTTGTCACGCACCGAGGTGGTCCAAGGGTGACCATTTTCTTCTAAACCCGCTTTGGATTGGTATCAACAGGCATACATTACATTTCATGGTCCAGACCAAGGGCTGAATCACCATGCGTTCCAGCACTTTACGAACATAGCCTGTAAGGGAAATGGGTCGATATATTGATGCCAAAGATCGATCTTTCCCTTTTTTTGGAACTGGGATGTCTTCTCGCCATGTAGCAGGGATATGCTATTCCCAGACACGGTTCTAAAGCCTAAAGAGAAATTACATGGCTGTTTCAGGAAGACGTACAATTACGTTATGAATTTTATCTGAACATGGGGCAGTTATTTTCGCAAGTGCCACTGCAAAGCGTATTTCGCACATGAAGAATGGGGTATTATAATCCTCACGTGTACTGCGCGAAAAATCCAAAGCGATCCTATTTTCCATTCTTTCTTTTACGAAAAGAAAGTCTGGATCATAGTTCGCCGAACTAGACATGTTTCATAATGAGCGGCAAGTTCCTCTAAAATTACGTCTCGAGGTGTTATCATCTCACCACTTGTAAGAAGACCTCCTCTTCACGCTTTCTACAATGGTTTTCCTCGCCTTTGCTCTGCATCTCTTGTAATCAATTAGGTTTTTCGCGGTCGAATAGTGTTTTAGACGCGCCAACGCCATTTTACGGGCACTTGACAAGTCCGAATTCCACGACAAAGGAGTGTCGCTTACCAGTCGACTTGAGGATTGCAATGTTAGCATTTCGTAATACAGCACGGTTAAAATGTGCTGCCATTTTCGTCTACACAAAGTCGTCCTCTGATAGCAGTCAGAGTAGTCACATAGCAGTCTGATAGCCTCTGATAGTATCAAAGTAGTCCTCTGATACCAGTCAGCCAGTTGTACACACCTTTGTGGTCACGACAACCCTGAATGAATGTAGTGGGGTAATGTTCGCTTCCAAGCAGGTCGCCTAAAATAGACCATTGGAGAGCAGTTGCATGTGATGGGCTACAGAGATCTAGATCGATGCATGTAATCGAGTATTTAGCGACGGCGAAATGAGTTGGTTCACCAGTGTTCGAAATTACCAAGTCCGAGGTGTTTATAACCGATTCCAATACGTCGCCTTTCGGACAAGTGGGACGAGCCCCAAAGGACTGTGGGCATTTACATTATCGACTATTAAAAATGATGAGGGTAGTTGGTTTATCAAAGCTAAGAGTTCATCGTCGGATAACTGTGTCCTGGAGGGATGTACATGTTACAGACAGTAAACGTGAGGGATGAGAGATACACCTGCACACACACTGAAGCTCGGCCTGAATGTGAACATTCGTAGGGAGCAGCGAGTCGTGAATCAACGTAGCAACTTTGCCATGTGCGCGGAGGCCGTCATCAACATCAACCCTGTTTGGGGTAAAGCCGCGAAAGGATAGGGGGCGTGGTAGAACTAGATGTCTCTCCTGTAATCAGATTACCGAAGGCCTGTAACGAGACAGCAGACGTTTGAGTTCGTCCCATGAGGAAGAAAAACCATTTAAATTCCTAGATAGGAGAGCCATACTGTGTAGTTAAGTATTTTTCTTTTACTTTCTCTTTTTCGCTCGCTGCTCCCCGAAGGGGCAAGTGTCCACAGTAGCTTAAGGTTCCACCGAGGCTGAGTACACCTGACAACTGCTCAAAAATTTGAGTGACCGCTCAGAGTGAATCCCAGGAGTCGGAGGTTGGAACAGCAGTCATTCAGCTGCGAGTCTGGGATGGATAGCCGATAGACATCGACCTTCATGTAGGGTTGAGTATTACTGGATTGATAGATAGATGTACCTGGTTGTGTGACTTTCTTGCTGTTTTTTGTATTTGGTGGGAATTACTATTTTACCACCTTACAGGGGCGACGTCTCAGGAAGTCCACCAGAGACACCTGGCAAGACAAGTGTGCTACTGAGAGAGCAACAACTATCGCTTGGCAGCTTGCAGTAAATTTAATCGACTTGGCCACGGCACTGGAGGACCGAGTCAGATTCATCGGATTCTTTGCCAGGTACCGACGTATCACTTCGGGAGAGGAAAATTTCTCAGATACTCGGATAATCTGGATCTCCCTCTCCTTCAGAAAGATAGGCCAATTCTTCGAGATAGCTGCGTGGTCTCCTTAACAATTTACACAGTGAAGCAGGTTAGCGTAAGGTTCTGGATCGTGCAGTGACTTACTCTGCTCTCTGTACATATCGGGCTTTCTGCAATACTCCGTTGTTGGGTATGGCCAAACCTCTTGACCCGTGAAGTAGCGCAGGGGGGTTGGAGCATACTGCCTCACGCGTGGAGATTATAAAAGCCACAACTAATCCTTTCCGAGAGGGAAGGGAGATTGAACGTGAGGATCAGTAGGAATGATCTCCCTCCCATTCTCCTTGCTCTTGATTCTGAACACCTCCATTACGCCCTGACACTTAAAGAGCGAAGTGCCTCTCGAAGAATCTTCATGATTGACCACTCTCTGAGATTAAGAGTAAATTTCACCTCGAGGTCGGAAATCTGATTATTGTTTGAATCCGTTCTATCTGATCGGTGCGCGCTTCAAAGAGAATTCCTTTATCGCATGGAGTTTCTCGAAGAAATCTTCGATTGCTCGCGCAGTACGGACCGCGTTTACACTTTTAAAAGACTTTCTTTCTTCCGCACATATAAGAAAAAATCGTGGTTTTTGTCTCTCCTCTTCTCTCAGAAACACATCAGTCTTCTCATAATATCGCCTCTGTCTTGCGGAAGAGAGCAAGAGGTGTTTTTTTTTTTTCATAGGATTGAAGTGGTTTCATCTCCGTGCTCCCCACCCACCATGGAGTCCAACAAGGGGACACCCCACTTGGGTGCCAGGGTTTATACGGAGATATAGTGGGGGGATGACACAGCGCTGCGCCGCCGTGGATCGCCCCGCCCCCACTCACCATGGAGTTCAGTACAAGACTAAGTCCGAGCAGATTGATCGGTAGTATGTTAGCTCCCGACCGCCTATCTAGACTCCAGAGTCCAAAGCAAGTGTATTGAAGCCTACAAAGAATGTCCCCCAAAATACGTAAAGAACGTATCTCTAGGTGCAAAGCAGAACGTACAAGGTGAGTAATTCGGAAACAAACAGACCCCGGAACCGTCAGGACACGTATTCCTTCCGACTCGGGTCGCCATGCTCGGCAAACACATGGGTGGGCGTTCACCATACGGGGGGGAGGGCAACGAAATACAAGAGGGTAGAAAAAGAGACAGAATGTTATAAAAGAACGAGAACGAACGATGGGGAGGGGGATAAAAATGACTGGTGAAAGAAAGGAATTCTTGAGAGCCTCCCTGCATCACTGCCAGGACGTAGGGACCTAATTCGACGGGCTCTGCATACAATGTTGCGCTGATGTCGCCGATTCTATTTGTATTCTTCGCGTTTTTTTTTTCTTTCATTTGTTTATCAAGTTGTGGGTGCGTACGTCTCGGTCCCTTATTCGAATGGAAGATTTTTTATTACTTTTTTCATTATTAAGCTTGCTTTTGTAATTCTCAGAAGGTACTGATTAATGGAAGTCCTTTTTTAGACGTGATCAAAAAACTCCCTATTGTCAGTCTGACACCTGGGGCGAATTATCGATGCACAATTCCTGCGAATGCCCAAGAGGGTCTTGAGCATGCGTTTGGTGGAGCTGCTGATTGTCTCGCCTTTTTCGGAAGCGGTGATGAACTCTCCTACTTACAGCAGCTTGTGATGTGTCTCGGTAGCAGATTTGCAGAGTTTCATACAAAATTTCACGTTCGCTCTTTGTTCGGCGTGCCATTCATTTGAGAATCGTAAAAGGGTAACACGTACTTGCAATGACGCGGACTACACAGCAACAGGTACTCACAAGATGTCTTTTTACACACGGACTTACGAAGGACAATTCTGTGGCAGCGTGTCCTTGGGCTGTTATTTGTCGGTGTTGCATAGCTTGTCTCGAGAGCTCATACGTGCGGGTGTTTTGTTCCTTTTGCCCATATATTATTAGATTTTGTACTGCACAGATTACATCCTTGGTGCTGCTTTTAAAATTTTCAATTGTTCCTCTATGATTCTTACTTTAATAACTAAGATTTTTTATGTTTACCAAGAATATTAGGCAATTGGGGATTAGCAAGCTGCCCCTGTAGTAGCTGCGGTTATTCCTTGCCCCTTTCTAGAAAATGATTTTGTCTTCCGATCAGTTGTATGTTCTTTATCTTCCAGTACATTGTCGAATTGTTCTGGAAGCTCTTCCATTTCTATCCTCTCCCTAAATTACTGATATCTTTTTCACAAAAAAATTGAAAATTATTTACTTTAGAGTACATTGCCTGCCAAGAAAATAAATTACGTACGCCAAGCAAATGCATATTGTATATTCTCCACCCAAGAAAAGAAAAAGTAATTTTGGAATAAAAAAGGAGTAAACCACTAGCTCAATACTCGTCTGAAACACACTAAATCTCATAATACCCAATAAAAAGACAACCCATAAACAACATGAAAATTATTACTTTTGTTAAAACATGAACTGTCCATCGTATATTAACTACGATAATCTTCAAATTTTTCTCTCAAAACAAAAAGCAGTGCATCCTATAAGAGAGGTCAAGTATTTCTATCATAATTATAAAAAAACGTCGCAAGTCGCATGTCAATAATTTATACAAATCAGTCGCACCAAAGAATCAACATAATGTACAGAGAGCAAAAGGTAATTTGAAATTCACTAATATCTCAACCACAATTAATAAAACAGCAATATACTCGTTTTTATTCATAAAGGATAATGAAAATCTGATCATACACATTTATGTATAAAGTAGATAACAGGTGCAATTTACACATCAATACATGTGCATGTGTTGGTAAAACAATAATTGCAAAACCACAGTGTCAATATACGCATCATTAATTGGTAGCTCCTGGAACAGTGGCAGTGTTGGTACACAAATAAGCTTCTACACAAAATTATCAGCTTCATCCAGCTTTTTCAAGTGGAATATTTTACTCAACACTTCGACAGACTTTTTTTGTTGACGACTTCTAGCAGGATCACTGAAATTAACATGGAAGACTCCAAACTTCTCCCTGATAAAATGAGAATTCACAATATTGTCAGACAAGAGCACAGTAAAAGGGATGCTCTCTATTCAAAATGATTCTGTCTCAAATATAAAAAAAAAATGAATGTGGTGCTTTTAATTTTAAATAAGATTTAAATATAAGATAAATATCTGTTAAATAAGCACACTGTGAAACCTGACTCAAGCGGTCACCAACGGTTCCATGCAGAATTGGCCGTTAACAGAGATGATGACACAACCAACGTTGTGAAGTTAGTGGAAGAGTAAATCAAATATAATTGTGCTAATTCCTATGAAATAAAGTATGTAACTTTTGACATTTTTATTTATCACGAATGACAAAATACGATTTAAAACAGGTATTTAGAATTTGCCTCCTTTCAGCTAATATCAAAACACACCCTTGGCTTGTCACTCATTATCTTAGCTGCGAAACTCACTTTGTCCTCATGGAATCACACTCAAACAAAGTAGACTTGAAGATGTAATTTACATCCAGTAGAAATTTTACAGCAGGGCTGTCTGATAATGGAGTAGGTGAATGACCTTTAGGTTAGATTCGTGTATGCAGCGTACTCCTCAAGTCTTTAACAGGCCCATAGAAGGGAACTATGAGTTAGCAATCCACAGGAATAGTGTGGCATTGTAGCTTCATTAAAATACATTTACTAAAATCATCTATTGTTACCTGAAAAGAAAATGAATGGCATCTCTTGATGCCATTATTCAAGTAATCTGACAAAGCATCTCATTGAGAGAAGTAATTAAATCAACAGTAATCTCTACCACTTTTCCACTTCTTGTTATAGTACAGTTCAAAATCACTTGATAAAACTGCTTTAAAAATGTCAATCTATAAAATGTGGCTGGCCATTGGCTGCTCAGCTAGGTGGCCACTGAAAAGAGGGAATGTTCACACGTGGCTTACGAAAAAATAAATCAGTCACAAAAAATGGCCATTAGTGCAGGAGGTCGTTTGAGCAGGTTTCACTGTATTTTAAAGAAAGTCAAATAAAGGAAGATTTATGAGAAGAATTTAGTCCAAAAAAATTCACTGAAATATGAAAGTGGGCTATTAAAACCCATCAATGTACACAAAATGTATGAATAATTATTTTTTTTATTATACAATAATTGCCACTTATTTTAAAGTGAACGCTTCTAATACAACTATTAAATTTACCCTCAGCTAATCATTTATACACTCTTATATATACGCAAAATGATAACTTTCCTCCCTTTCTATAATTTCTTTCCAATGTATACTTACGTGTAACCTCTTTCCCATTCAAAATTGTCCATAATGCTCCACACAGTATATCCAATAACTTTACAGCCATCTTCATTAATAGCTTTCAAAAGTTCAGCAAGATAGTTCTAAAAAATTGTAAAAACATTTCTTTACATACACGATACATCCAGTTAATAATTTTTTCAAATTCAAATTAAAAACCTCAACACATACATTAGAATAAAACTATTTACTTCTACTTTCTCAGTAGGCCTTCCAAAACGTTTACCTCCAGATTTTCTAAAGTACTGAAAATAGTACTTACTTTATGATAATAAATTCTATCATTATCTTCAAGTTCACCGTGATCAGAGAAGCCATTTTCAGTGACAAATACTGGTGGGTTACGGTATTCAGATTTAACCCATTTTAATAATTTTCTAAAACCCCAAGGAACAACCTATGAAGACATTAACACTTAGAATAATTCAATCACAAAAAGTCTTTATCAATTCTTAGATTTAAAAAAAAAAAGTACTACATTATCAACTTCCTTTACATAAAGTACAAAAGATCTTGCAAGTGTAAACACAAAAAAAAGATGCATAAAACTACCAATAAAAAACTTATTTCTCCAAGGAAAAATTGGAGCAAGGAAGAATGAAATGTAAGGACATGAATACTAAAAGGCATTGGCAATCTTAAAGCCAATAAAATAACCTCATGACTTATAATACATGATATTGTTGTCACAAAATTTTCCAGTAGATCTTGGTAAAAATAGTTAATAGAAATCCACAATATATTTAAGTTTTCAAGACTCTTAATACTTAATAAGATACTATCTGATTTAATAAATCATGCACGCAATGCTGATTAAAAATACATTGCATAACTATATCTCTAAATATTAAATCACAATCTGACAAAAAATGCATTCCCAAGGAAAATTGAAACTTGTGATAAGCCAAAAAATTTTTTTAAATACAAGGTGGACAATATATTTTTTGCCGAAGATCACAAAGCACCAAGCTGGGACTGCACAACCTGGCACCCATACTTTGCGGTCAGTGTCCTTCAAGAAACCATGATCCTGATAACTCAGTATCCCAAAAGCATTTGCACTCTGCAAGTGTGACAATTGTTTCTGGAGCAGAGAATCTCTCTAGAAAACATTTGATTGATATAATTCTGACATTTATGAATTTTTGAGCACTGCAAATGGTGGCAATCTAATTATTTGTTGTGGGTTATGGTGGGTTATGGCCTCCCAAATCATTCTTGTAGCTTTTTACTTTAAGAATAATTGAAAGATCAGGTGTATGCAAGATATCCTCATTCAGAGGAAAATTTCTGGCGTTCTATAAAGGAGAAAATCACTACAATTCTGCTTCAAAGAGGAAACCAAGTATGTTTTGGAAATGTAAAGAATTCATTCAAGGCAATGAATACAACTTTCAGCGTCTGCTCTAGCACAAGTCAAATGCAGCAGAAGTGGCACACATCTCAGCCGACTGTCAGCACTTTACCGGGCAACCTAAGCATCAGCTCCCCATGTGATGCTTTTAGTTTTTTGAGAAAATGAAAACTTGTCCACATTTCATTTAGTGTGTGGCTGAAACAACTGTCTGAAAACACTAACTTTTTTTGATGAATTTATAGACATAATTTTTAAAGGTCCTTTAAAACTGAATTGTCTTCATATATGTATGATTTCTTACAATTATTCTACTCCTAAAATAACATAAATGACTGTTTCCTTTCTCAAATCTCAGTCAATCGACAAATATTTTCCCTTCTAATTTTTATTAATATTAGATTTAAATATCACTTACTTTCAGCCATTTTGATGCAGATGAAGGCCAAGATGGATCAACTTTGGAGATTACACCAGTATCATGCTCTTTTGAAGGAATTTGACCTTCTTCTCCAGATGTTACCAAACGTGTAGTATAATGATTGAGAGCAAAAAAGTCAGCTGTACCTAATAGACATGAACATGGAGCAATTTAAATCAAGTATCTGGAAGACATCTTATCACAGAAATTAAAAATAATATTCCAATTACAAAAAAAATTGTTTAAATTCTCACAACATTCTAACACTTTATTCTTCAAATATATATAGAACACTAAAAAAAAACAAAAGTAAATCATACCTCTTATATATTTAATCCAATAACCACTAAACGAGGGCAATCTAGAATATTTTAGTCCTTCTGCACGACTGTGTTCATCCACAATTTTTCGCATCAATGGTGGATAATCACCAGATTTACTATAAATAGGATGTGCAAACCAGCCCAACTAAAACAAACCAGTACAACTTTCAGGTGATGTGTACTTCACATTTAGAAAAGAAACTGTGATTAAAAATAACAGCATGCTGATTCCCATTTTCCATGTTCAATCACATTAATTCAAAAGAAAAATGGTGTATAAAAGAATAAACTTCACACTGCTGTGTATGTTGTTGCTTTTTTCCCTGAAATGAAACATATACACCAGAATGTTCCTCATAGTAGCAATTTCTTTTCTGTTTTGCTTGAGAAAAATATAGTTCCCCAAAAAATTGTTTTCTTTATAATTTTTAATTTCTCGATTTCGTACGAGCCATATATCATTGCAACTTTATGCGCATTTCCAAAATTTAAAGTGCTTTTGTAAACTCAGATCATTAGCATCACTTCCAAAAAGCAAATGCACCACAGCAATTCTGATGGATGGCTGGCAAGTTAAAGTTCTGACAGCCTAAAATGGGAGGATATTGCAGGGCCTACAAATAGGGGGTTTGCAAGAGTTATATCTCAGCTGATTAAGTACAAGTGTCAAGAATGAAGTTAATTGAGATAAAATGTGTTATGTGAGCAAGATTTGTGAGTAGTGTGTGACAGTTTCATGGTGTATGTTAATCACATATCTCGTCAAGGAAGCTGTATCATAATGTGAGAGGGTGTGTAGTATGTGGCAACTCTAGGAGGATGGCGACAAGAGATGCTACGTACTACATTCTCTATGATGTCAACTACATTTTAAATTTATTCAGACCTTAAATGGTAAACCAATCATTAAGACTATGAAAATATAATGAGATTTTATTAAAATCACTACCACTTACTTCAAACTGCATGCCACGTTCTGAAGCCTCAACATCTTCAGAAGATTCAGAAATGGGCTCAAGCCAACGACTACTCAATGTAATGCTAACCCGACCTAAAAAAAATAAAATATAAAAATAAAACTCTGTACTTTACTGTAAGGAGAAAAATTAAAACTGTATTTTAAAAAAAGGAAAAATGTAATTATTTACTCACAATATATCACTGCCAATATATTATTTATTTACCTTTTTGTTTGGAACGAAATTTTTGATCGTATACATGGTAAGCCTTAGCATGAGCTTGTAATATGGTATGAGCAGCCTTATAATCGCCTACACCAGGAAGAACTACACCAGGAGCGGCATCATGGCTAACATACCCAGTACACACTTCTGTAGGTTCATTAAATGTAATCCACCATTTAACCTACAAATCCATACAAAAACTCAACTGAGAAAGAAATCAGAAAGTAAAATAAAGCTAAGCAAAAATGCAATATAACAATATAATTCATAAAACTATAATATTTATAAGTTTACCATTTTACATGCCTATTTAGGAGAAAATAAATGCCTAAATTTCCAGGCTCTAATTATAAAATGACAACTTGTATCCTATTCATTTTTCAGACTTCTGTTGAGAAATTCATTCGCACAGGAGATAAAAATTTGAAATTTTGAGAAACAAAATTCAGATGTTCTAATGAACATCAGACTTATTTGACACCAATAAGTGTATTTTGCCCTATTCAAGAAAAATAAAGAAAACAACTTTGCTCTACATATCCTGAAAATTGAATCCTGAATTAAGTACGCCATGCCAAAACACTTCTCACCTCTGAGAACATAGGGCCAACAAGTCTCACATAACCTACCAAGAAAAAGAATTATTTACACTAGAAAACTTTTTAAATTTTAACTTGCTTCATACGCAATTTTTTAAAGTATTTGTGTCCACAAAAATCTAGCTTCAACAGCATATACTCTCTCATATTCCACAATCTTTGCAAAGTTTCGAAATTCAAAGAATTTTTGAACAAAGAAAGATTGAAGATTGATTTTTGAAGAAAGATTGAACATGATCTTATTTAAAGAATTGATTTCCTTAAGTAAAAACAATGTCTACCTTCAATATTAATGAAAAAAAAATTGATCTTTGCAATATTCGAAAATTCAAGGAGTTCAATGAAAATTAGACCTGCTCCATTGTTCTAAACACCATCAATCAATTTTTCAGTACCAAGGTCCCATACATCGTTGATTATGACTACAAAATCTATTAGAGGAAGTAATTTACAACAAGAAGCAACTTTCTTTCTTTTTTTATTATTTTTAAATTCATCCACTTTTTCAATACCATGGCCCGACAATCTGAGTTTTACAGTTGAAAATTGCCATTTTCTGCCGTGCCATTATAATTCTTTTTTACTACAAAAGTACATAGTCAGGCGAGAAAGTAAAAACAAATGACATTATAATGTATCTTTCACAAATATATTATTGAGCAAATTATTCCAAAAAAAATAGCAAAAGTTTCATAGTTCAAAACTCAAAATGTTTAATAAAAATGGCACTTGTGCCATAGAATTCAGTATATTGTGCTCTATCCTTAACTTCGAAGATAAAAACTGGAGATTGTTTTGAGAAACTTTTCTTGACATATTAAGAGAAAACTGACCCATCATACTCCACAATCAAGCAAAAATTACTCTTATTTTTTAAGAAGTCACAATGAAATGATTTAAAAATCTAATATTGAGGTATTGCATTATAAGAGAAATATCCAGTTTTAACTTTTTAGGTGTGGCGAGTATCAAAAAAATGTTGAACTTTTCCCCTCATTAAATTTTGTAGCTTTTAATTAAATTCAACCTATAACGCCTTTATAAATGCAGAATGTTCTATTCAAAAAAAAAAGGAAAGAAAAATTTGAAGTCGTTTTGGAAAAAATTTTGTTAACACATTTTCAATCCATTTCAATCCATTGTTAACACAATTTCAAACACATTTCACCATTTCAATCCAAATCAGGTGAAAATTGGTCTCATTTGGGAAAAAAATGCACATTTCATCATTTACAGATTGAATTTTGAAGAACAGTTATCATGATGGAAACTTGTGGAGCTACGTTATCACGATGAAAACTAGTGGAGTGGCAACAGCACAAACTTTCTTGTATTATTGATTACATAATCTTGAAATATTGCAACTTCTATTCTAAATCACATTTGCTACTTCTCCCAACAATTGAAATGTTTGTATGGAAACAAAGAGCAAGAATTTAGAAAAATAATATGATAATTACAGTAAGAATTAGTTGGTAATGCAGACTGTTCCTAATAAGATTGGGGACTATTTTTGGATGAAGGAGAGACGCATAGCTGAGAAAATTTCCGACACGCCTTGCACACAGTGTCATGGATGACGCATGGGCCAGAGTCTACTGTGCTGATTTAAAAGGATTCTAGAATATACTATTGATCACTTTTGAATATTTTCTTTATAATCTAACAGATTCAATCAATAACCATTGATAAAAAAAAATTTCCATTTATTGTAATAACATATACATAGTAACGTTTTTACTTATTTGTTGTTGTTTTTTTAATTTCATTGGTCAATATTTTAATACATGATTAAATGAAAGGAATTATATCAGCAAACGTTGAACAACTTTAAAAATAAATATCAGGAATACATAGCTTTAAACTATGTGTGTCTAATGGCTCAACAGCCAAGGGTTAGAAGCTAATCAGTATACGTACTCTATAAGCTAAATAGACAACCCACTTACTTGATCCCCGAACAATGTGAAGAGTAAAGATGCATAATTTTTAAAATAATCAGCCATCTGAGTATTAAGCCAGCCTCCTTTGTCTTCTAATGCTTGGGGTAGGTCCCAATGATACATAGTTACCTAAAAACACAGTCATTAAATTCAAAAATAAACATTTCATAGGCATGTAATTAGTTTAATAAAGTTTGAAAAATACTACAAATAAGTTATTTGGCCTCAGATATGCACACTGAAATTCATTATAAAACGTGCATCAAATCCACAAATGCATGTAACATATCGTTTTAGATCACATCAAAAGATATTGACCTTTAAACTATGAAAGGTACCATCAAATTTGGAAGAGTGAGTTTACAATTTAGTGTTAAAATGTAATTTAAAAAAATTACCCAACATTACCATTGGCTCAATATGGACTTCTCGCAAAGCTGCAATCAGATTCTTGTAGTAAGTAATTCCAGAATGGTTTATAAGACTTAGATCTCCTTTTGGAAGTATTCTTGACCATGATATTGAAAATCGATAAACTTGAACCTTGAAAAATATCAGGAAACTTAGAATTTGGAAACATCAAAATGATTTGTAAATAAGTTTGTAGTAAAAGTAAAATGTACAAAAATTGATATGATTGATATAGTGACAAATTTATATGAAATACTACTTAATAGTTTTAAAATTTAAACAGTCTTATCATACTCCTGGACCCAAGATTTAATATTTGGAAAAGACTCCCAAAAGGGGTGAAACATTACACCAAAATTAGTATTACTGAGGCAGAAGAGGTCTGAATTATTGATTATTAAATAATCTTGCAAAATATTTAGGAAATGGTATATTGCATTGATTTACAGCCATTTTAATGAAGTTATTATTTTCTTCTACACAACAGAAAATACAAGTATTGCTGTATAAGAGAAAACTGGAATGTTCATTGACGGTTCTTGCAAGGCACTATTCTAATATAATATATTACCTGGAGTTTCTTCAGTAATTTTACATCTTTCTTGTAATTATGATACGAATCACAAGCAATATCTCCAGAACTGTGGTCAGCTATCCATTCTGGATGAGTGTGAGTAAATACATCCCAAATATTTTCTCCCTTACCTGGGCAGTAATTTTTTTATTGGTACAAAAGGATCAACTTCAAAAATTTTACACTCAAATAGATAATTAACATTAAGGAAATTTCAACTGTTTATAAAATGTTATTACATTCAAATTTGTTATTATTGATACATCTCACCTGCAAAGTAAAATACACAAATGAATTACCACTTAAATTCCAACCACCCTCCACTTGGTATGAAGCAGTTGCTGCTCCAAACAAAAAATTATAAGGAAAACTGCCATTGCCGCTACTGTAGCTAGAAACAACATTCCACAAAGTAGCAAAATATAGAGCTGCTACAAATGTACCAGTACATGGTGCAGATTTCATTTTGAACTCTGAAAGAAAAATAAAGAGCAGATGTAACTTGTATCTACTACTGTATCAATTTCTTAAATCTTTCACTCGAAATTTATTTTACACTCGAAAGACAGCAAACAGATATCATTTATTCACGTCTCATTGGTTCGAACTGTCATCATGAGCAATATTTTCAATTCAAATTCAATTGAATGATGAATGTGTTATATCGGTATAGCAAGGGCGGATCTCGAAACGAATTTTAGGAGGGGAGATTTTTGTATTCAAAATGTTTAGGTCGAATGTGTCATATTACAGATTATGTACAATGACACAGAGTAAACTCAGCTCATATAACGGTAAAATTGTATTCGTTTTAATGTTTAATCGAAAATATTTTTGCTTGAAAGTTTCGTGACAAGTTAAAATTAATAGTTACTGAAAAGTTTGGGGAGGGAAAACATCCCTCATTTCCCTCGCCGTGGATCAGCGCCTGATATATGAATATCGATATGGTTATTCGTTCTTAAAAGAGTACATGACGATTTCCGACAAAACTCCGAACTTCCAGATTCTCCTTTCATGTTTGTATTGCTCTCGGCGACATCAGGATGACTCATTACCAGACATTCATCAACGTACGTGAATACTGAATTGTACGCGCATAAGTGTATTTTTGTCATTATTACGTGTGTCACGATTCTCGCATACAAATGGCAAAAAATATAAACAAACTCAAGGAGGAGCGTGTGTTTATGTGATATGGCACAGAAAAATAATTTACATTGCTTAGAAACTACGAAGAATAAATGAAATACTCCATGAAACTTAGTTGGAACCGTCGTAAGACTGCACAACCGCAAAATTTCGAACCAAATTGCCGGCGGGTGGGCGTTACACTCGATTACAACGGTCCCCCGAGCCACTCCCCTTCGTTCAAAGTCGGGATTATCGTCCTCTTTTCCCTATTTCGGCAATGCAAACAGCTCTCCCCTCACTCCTCAGTAGTCGTCGGTCTGTCTCGACAAGCTCTGGGCCAGAGAGTATGGGTCACACTGGTTGCCCGGAGATAAGCGCAGTCTCGGAAAACAGCCAGAGGGCCGCTCTCATGAGTAGCCCTAAAGTGCACTATATACAGCAAGACTGTTGCGCACTAGTTTGCCGCCCTGGTGCAAGTACATTTTGTCGCTTTCAAAGGGAATACTATTAAATACTTTTAATAGTAGAAAAGTTTTGTTGTTTAAAATACTATTTGTGGAAGTGTTATTCTTATTACAGATTTATTAAATATCTACGTACCATACAAAATAAGGCACTTCACGATCTTTCAAACTTGCAATTTTTTTATGATACTCTAAATAAAGTATTGCAGATTTCACGACTGCCACTGCTCTAAGCAATGAAACATAACGTTAGTAAAATTAGTGGGGATAAAACTGCTTTTATTTTCTTGCAATGTTTCGAACGTAAGCACGTGCCAGCGTCGTTAGCCGAATACCTTACCTTCGCTCTGTTAAGTCACGGAGGTTAAACGAATTCGAGACTTTGCGGGTTCCTGGTTGGGTGACGTCTAGGAACCCCGGAATTTAATGGCTCCGAGCACTTCGCCCAAGGGATAGAAGGACTGACTGACTGCGACGTGACGAGTCTTGAGAAAAATAAAAACGGATGATTACCCTGTGTCGATGAACGCCCAACAAGGTTTCAGAAACGCATTGCGTCGACGAAGATGCAACATTTTTTTTTTATTCAGAAAGTTTAACGACAATGAGACTTGTACTATTTTTAATCGTTCATTACACTATCTTAGGGAAAAAATAAATAAAAAAAATAATTGGGGTCTTGTATATAAAGAAAACTCATATACTTGGAGTCGGAGAGAGAAGGCATGTGTGAACCTGTTCGAATTGCAGCGCAAAGTATGGCGCGTTCTAGTCGGTGTTGTCGACTGACCGGAGGGAGAGGGGAGGTAGCCCTTACTTCAGCGAGGAGAAAGTAGGACAGGAAGAAATGGCCAGAGGGCAATTGTAACGACTCCTACTTACATTGACAGCAGTGCGGAAATGTGTGTTGATCATATGCAGAAAGTAGAAGATTCGTAATTTTGCTCTGTAGAGAGAACGTGCGAGTGATTCGCAGTTGAAAGCAATCGTGGTGCAGTAATTCAAATAGTCAGAAAAGCAGTATTTTAGTATGCATTGGTTTGAATGAAGTGAAGTAACAGTACGTTAAGTACTTCCAAGTTTCTGAAAGTTAAAATCGAGGAACCGCAAGGCAGTTACGATCTAGTAATTAGTAGAACTGTTTAATGAATGAACTGCTTGTGAACGACGTGCATTTCATTTATGAGCGCATGAAGTATATTTAAGTTTAACGAAAGGCAATCGTGAATAGATCACTCAAGAAGAGTGTTGGTGCGACGGAAGAAGCGAAGCGGAAGACATGAAGAGGACGTGGTAAGACGGATGGACGAGGGCGGGCGACCGTGCAGGATCGTGCCAAAAGCGACGCAGGAGGATTCGCGGCGTCCCGGAGCGGGTCCTCGAGCTGATATGAGTTCGAAGAGGGAACGGAGCGAGGGCGCGTGGCCTTCGCAGCAGTCCCGACGTCCGGCGCATTTAAGACGGCGAATGTTGAGTAACGCAATGTTTTGTTCTGAATGTACTAAAAAAGAAACAAACGACGCCAGAGTTGGTAACGAAAACTGAGAAGGGAAATAGCTTAATGTAAATGTTGCAATTGGATCTGCTTTTCAACTTTAAAGTCCCGATCTGTTCTTAAACAGAGGGTTACTTTATCATATGAAATTAGGAATTTTGGATGGGAAAGTAATTGAATTTCGTGACGAACTAAGGGTAATATGTGCTGACAATGATATATTGGAAGAAATTTGAAATTAAATGTGATATACCAGGGTAAAATCAAAGTAAGAGGTATTACTAAATGGATTTGCATGGGATCCCATTTTTGAAGCTTTGATAATAGTCTTACAAGAAATAGTTTCTAAACGGTATTTGAACCGAATGATTCAGTAGATGTGTATAACTGCTGTTTTCCATTCTTGAGGATTGAATAAATCCTCACTTTTTCCAGAATTATGCAAGTGTTGTTTTTTTTCTTTTTCAAGTGCGATCATTAACCAGCGTTTCTCCCTACCAAGATCCTTGCGCCTTTAGGTTCACCCAAATATAGTTTATGACAATTGTGACCGCAGTTTCGTATGTATGTGTATA